ATATATATATATATATGAAGCGAGAGAGAGGAGTGACCTTGAACCACTGTAGTTCTCTTTGCATTTGCAGGGCTGCCCCAGAAATGCGAGCTAGTTGAAAGTCAGGGGCTAACATCCCTGCTATATGTAAGCAATTATTATCGTGATTATCAGTATGATTCAAAAGGTGCTTCCATGCAGCAACGCTACAAAAGAAGCTGAAAATTTTTTCCTGACGATATTCAACTGCACACATGAAAGCAATTCTTAAATTTTGATCATAACTATACATTATATGTGGTCTGGCTTTCAACACTTCAACAACAAACTCCTCCATGCCATTCTTGGTAGCTTGAAAGAAAGCATCATACACTTGACCTGCTAGACTTTCTTGGCGACTCAAAATTGTTATGTGTTCACACATACATTTTAGGACCTCAAGCGAATATGTATGGATCAATTTCAAATCATAAATTTTCTTGATTCCTATATCAAGAATCAAAAACATAAGTAAAAATGATTAGTTGAAAATTACACAAGAGCCAAGGAAAACAGAGGTTTAGTTGAGTAGAAGCAGCATACCAGAGAACTTCAGGAACATTAAGTCCAATGCACCAAGTCGAAAAAACACTGCACAAAGAATAATAGTACCAACTATAATAGTTTTTCCCTTTTTCTAAAAGGGATTCTTTGATAAGTCGCATTGAATGTACATACCTTGCATGATGTTTTCCTGTTCATTCTGGTCTTGGTGAGGAACAGAAATTCGAACATAATTAGAGGAGCTGTGTTGGTTTATCTTTATACCTTCAACAACAATGGATTAAATAAAATCAATTAACAATGCCAAAGAAATTGAAAATTTATAAAAACAGAAACTGGCACTAATACGTACAATGATAAATTAAACGTTGCCAAAATCCAAGAATGCTTCCACTAAAGAATGCAGATGGTTCATTGGACAATGTTAGAATCGGAGAGTCTCCCCGGCTACTGGTTTTTATGACGGCTAAACTTGGATAATTCTGAAGTAAATTCAATGAGATATCTGCTTTCTCAACACAAAAATATTTATCAGGCAAAACCACATTGGCGTGTAGATTATGTATCATATATGATAAGAATACCAATGAACTTGGATGAAGTTTTGATCATTTTTACCAAACATTTTGCCAGTTATGGTGTAATTGAGGAGCCAAAGCCCATGTTTGCCACCATCAGGGCTGGCTGGGCTTAGGAATTCAGCAGGGGTCTCAGAATACAGATACTTCGTCAAATACTTATCACCAACAGCACTTGCCAAAACAACCGGAATAAATCCTCCCTTATTGGGAATAGTTAGTAACGTCCGGTTCTTTTCAACCAAACATCTTGCAATCTTCATCCTTCCAGCACTAGCAGCAAAGGAAAGAGCCGTGTTACCATTCATATCTTGTTTTTCCAAGTCTGGTTCTGACAGTCTGGGGATCAATTCCTCAGCAATCTTTACAGAACCAGCCCAAACTGCAACATGAAGAGCAGTTTCATTGCTGTCATTAATTATTGCATTCATTGTATATGGATACTCCTGGAAAATCCCATGTACGGTATCCCAATCTTCCCTGGTGATTTCCCTGACCAACCGCATGGCTGTATGCCTTTCTGCTATGCTAAATGACACTGCAAAATTTGTGTAACCTTTGTGAGCTTGCCATTTTAAGATGATGAGAAGCAAATAACCTATGCAAAATCTAAAGGTACGAAGAGAAAGAGATGAAATACCTGAACTGGTTTCTAAGTTGGGGCGGGAATGCGATTTCCACATTTGATGCATTTCAGCCAATTTGTTCCAAGCATCTTTGGCTGAACCGATATCCTTTATTTGAACAAAAACATATTGTGAACACGTAATGTGAATTGCATGTAGAGCTGCAGCATTCCTTTTGCTCCAATCAGCTGAAGGAAGAGCATCACCCGTTTCGACCACGTCCCAAAGATCTTGAGTTAATAGATAGTTTTTAAGGAAAATTGTCCAAGGTTTATAGTTTTTAAGTTCGAGCAAAAATGGAACAATTGTGTTGGAAGTAGCATTCGTTGCCATTTCCAATCTATATCAAACCATCACCAAAAAAAAAAAAAAAAGCTAAATTAGAGGCATCTCGATCAGCTCCTGTGCTCTTATTTAGGAATCATAATTCATAAATAATATTATTCAAGTGACCTTCACATTTACTAGAAGAAATAACGTTAGTCAATTCATGCAGTATTGAATATACGGAATAAACACAAAAAATTTGTCATTCAGTAAAGCAATAACAAATACACTAAAACCGCACCTGTGACTAATGGAATGGAATGAAGACAGCCCCCTTCCTCAAGCTGCAGCTAGCCAATGAAACTGGATAGCACTGTTGCAACTTTTGCAATCATAATTCACAAACAGTATTCTACAATCTTAATATATACTATAAGAAATACACTTAATCAATTCCTGAAGTAAAGAATATTGGAAGAGTTTGGGGGAAGAAAAGAACAAGGAATAATCAATATGATTAGTTGAGAAACACTGAGACAAGGCGTTCTATCCTTTTGAAGACTAAAAAGAAAAGATAATCATAATTAATGGACTCAAGGCATCTTCTTTTTGACAAGTCATGCGTCACATTATCATGATAATCATCATTTGATGCTCTCCAATATCCCACCCCGTCTGGGTAATTAAGAAACTTTATAAGAGACATTCAATGTCGGCAGAAAAGATGCAGGCCGTGCAAAGAAAAAGAAAGACAGAAAAGCAGGGAAGGAGGAAATAAAGTAAAAACGCTGGAAATTTGTCATTCTATAAAACAATAACAAGCACAAACACAGTTGTAGAACAGCTTTAGATGTAACATACTGGCACAGACACCCAACACCACCAAAATTAGTCGGGATCTGGTAAAACAAATATCATCCAACATATGGTCTGCAAACTAAATCGGAGAAATATTCACGACGGGCATGGACTAGGAACTAAAACAAATTTCGACCAGGCATCCCATTTCTACAGACGTACATAACTTTCATTTCAAGATAAAAATGGATCCACAGAGTAGAAGATTTCTAGGTACAAATCGATTGCAAATGCAAAAGTCAGATATCCATTGGATTACATTTATTAACCACGCCTCTAAGCCCTCTCACCTCTAATTCTCCTAGCAAGCTGAATGTCCTTGGGCATGATGGTGACTCTCTTAGCGTGAATGGCACAGAGATTGGTATCCTCAAAGAGCCCCACGAGATAGGCTTCGGCAGCCTCCTGAAGAGCAGCGACTGCACTGCTCTGGAACCTGAGATCGGTCTTGAAATCCTGAGCGATCTCTCTCACAAGCCTCTGGAACGGAAGCTTGCGAATCAATAGCTCAGTACTCTTCTGGTACTTCCTGATCTCTCTCAGAGCCACAGTTCCTGGCCTGAAACGGTGAGGCTTCTTCACTCCTCCGGTAGCCGGTGCTGATTTACGAGCAGCCTTGGTGGCAAGCTGCTTCCTCGGCGCCTTGCCTCCGGTCGACTTCCTGGCTGTTTGCTTAGTACGGGCCATCTCAGGGAATAACAATGAGATTCGAAGGTAGGGTTGGATGAAGAAGAAGGGGTTTTGGAGAGTATTTATGGAGGAATTTGGGGGAAGGGGGAAGCGGGAACTTTAGAAATTTGCAGCGCTTCTTCCGGTTCTCCGAATATTTTGAAGGAGTGAATCTGATCCGTCGATTAAGAGGCAATGAACGACTGTAAGCATTACTTAGATCAAGATCCGCGTGCAATGGCAATCTACCAATAGAGTGTGTCTCTTGGGGCGGCACATTTTGTAATGGAGAATGAACGTGAACCGTAGATTGCTTACTTATCAACGGCTACAGTGAATAGAGCAGAACGACACGGATCTTTATTTTCTTTACAGGTGTGATTTTTTTAGCATTTTTTTTTTGTTTGATTACTATTGTATTTAGTACAATATATACTTATACATTTATAGTAGTAATTAAAAATGTTATTATTATATATTCTCATTAAAAAATTTTATTATATAGTTATTATTATTAACTAAAAATTTATACTTTCCCCTTTTTTTTTTGAGTTTTTCCGAATCTTTTATTTATTGTGTTTTAAATGGTTAAATTTATACTGTGTATACTTCTAATATTTAAAAACCTCCAATTTTTCTTATGTTAAGAAGATTTTTCATTTCCCTCAATCCTAACCCTTCCTTTTTTTTCCTTTTTTTTTCTTAATCAGCCACAGTATTCTTAACCTTTATTTGAGTTGTTCATATGCCTAGGATGACTTCAGCAATAGAAGACATTATTTTACCTCTAATTGTGTAACTTACCAAGATCTCAAAGGCAAATCTTGGGACCGGGAAAAGAAATAGTTTTCTTTATCACATGGAGCCGTAGACCATCTTTAATAAATGTACCAAAAAGAAAGTAAAAAAATAAATAAAAATTGTTAGAACAAAATCTCTCCACAAATTATTATTCCTTACAAATTACACTACAGAAAAACATAACTCAAACTTTGTTCAAGAGTGTAAAATTTCTGTTACATAGTCATACAAACTCCTTTTGGTACATCACCATGTGCCATGCATAGGGATATGAAAAAACAACTATTTACAGTGTGGGAAAGAAAGATTACTTATATGAGTTCATTCTGGATTTTCCGAATCAAACCTAGGTAATTCTAAATCAACCTACCTAATAATTAAGTCCATTACTAGCTTTGATCATGAACATGGCATGTCTACAATACAGAAAATAAGGAACAAAATTCAGACCCAGTTGTTTGGAGGTGAAAAATTATGGAACCTGAAAGAGATCTCCCCAGCAGTGTCCCGCTGGATAATACTTCTTTCATTTGGAACTTCAGGTGGTAGAGTTGGTATCTGATTCTCACTGGGAATGTGTGGCAATCTAACCTCAGGTGGTAGAGCTAATGGAGTTGGGGAGGATGCTTCAAACCTAAAACTGCCTCCTCTTTGGGAAGCCAATGCTATATCCCACAAGAACACATGAATAAGAATTGGCACCTTGGCATGCCGGTGCAGTGAGAGCTTCTGGCTGAGGGAAACAGTATCAAAACATCTAAGTGCTCCAGTTGAAGAAACCATCCATGGAAGGACCTTCTGGTTTGATACTCTTGAGACAACTAGTAGCCTGGATGCACTTACTGCTTCTTTGTAAAGTTCACTTAGTCCTGCTCTTGTTGAGGGAATGTTTTCATCACCATCAATAACAGATGAAATGTAGATGAATCCCTGTTAAGAGAAACAAAATGACTATGATATTGTTTCAGCACACACACACACACAATAATTAATATGATTCCCTTTGAAATCCAAGAATGATGTCTAAGAGCAATGAATATCCAATAGCAAACCTCTTCTGTTCGACTAATGGCAAATCCCTGTTAAGAGAAACAAAATGACTCGATGATATTGTTTCAGCACACACACACACACACACACA